GGGAACTCCAAGGTTACCCTCGGCAAAATAAAGGATTCATTTACTACTCGTGTTGCTGTTTGATGGTATCTCAACCCACGGGGTGTTTACAGCCCCCCAGCCGGGCCCGGCGCGGAACTGGGGTAGGAAGGGGCGATGCGGGCGCGGAGCTGCTCCACCCCTCGCTCTATTTACCCCAAATAAACGCCGGTGCCGGGGCTGGCCCTCACCTTAAAAGCGCGGGCAGGTGCCGGGGCCAGAGGGAACCCGGCAGGGGTGGCCGAGCTGGCACATGCTGCAGGTGGGGCTCAGCCTGCCCCGCTCCCCCGGGGGCGCGGCCGCCGCCTTCCCCATGGCCGAGCCGGCCGCGGGCGAGGACTCGGGCACCGGGCGAGGTGAGTGCGCCGAGCGGGGCCCGCCCGTGCCGGGACACGTCCGGCGGAGCACAGGGGCTGGGGCAGACCCAAATTCCTGCCCCGACCTGGAGCCTCCGTTCGGCACCCGGGGCCGGGGCACCGGCGGTCGGGTGGGCTCGGGCTGATGATGCTCGGTACCGGGCAGGGCGGCACCCTGGGGAGAGGACGAGGTGATTTTGGGGATCGCGGGGTGCAACAGCCCCTGATTCACCCCCGGTGTTGTCTCAGCCTGGTTTCTGTGGCCAGTCACCCCCGTGACTGTGCTGGGATCAGGCTGTGTCCAGGACAAGGAGTCGAGCCGAGCCACCGCATCCAAGAGCTGAACCTTGAACCAGACTGAGCCTGGGGCCAGCGCCAAACTGAGCTGGAGAGCCAGAGCCCGACCCAGCCAGGCCGACAGGACCGTCCCGATGTGCCACCACCTGCTGTCCCCCCGTGTCCCCTTGGCTCAGTGAGAATTCATCCTTGACCCCCAGCAACTGAGCACAGCCACGATAGAAACATCCGAGAGTTAATGAGTGCGCTAATTGACTTTATCCCTGCCCGTTAATCAGTGGCCAGCAGAGCTCACCCACGCGGGGACAGCTCCCGTGCCCCGTGCAGGGATCGCTCGGACCGAGCTCTCCCGCAGCCCCAGGAAATGCTGCTCCCGTCTCTCTAGGAGGAGCTCAGACTCTGCTCTTCCAGCGCCGGGCTGGCGGCTGCCCGAGCCCTGCCTCGGGCCGTGAGCTTTTGGAGGGCTGGAAAGCCTCTCATGGTGTGAGAAGAAACCCTGATACCCAGCTAGGACCTGGCTCCACACTTCTCCAGAGCCCTGAGCTGATGGGAGCGGGAGAGGGCAAAGCCTGAAACCCTTCCCTTTTTAGGGGAGAACAAAGAAAGCCGGGACGTGGCTGGGAGACTTCAGAGCGCCCTCAGCCAGAGTGAAACTCTGTTGGTGGGGTGGTGAAAGGTGTTCAATAAAAGCTCTTTGTCCTACAGAGGTGCTTGGCTCGTCCCCGGTCACCATCGTGGTCACGTCCGAGGCTGACACGTGGGACATCGACACCTCGTCCTGCCTGGGCTGCGGGCAGTTCGTGGACTGGGACAAGATGCCGGAGCCACAGCAGCCGGCGCAGATCCCGCGGGACGTCCTGGACAGGCCCCCGAAGGAGCTGAAGAGGCTGGCGAGGGAAGGCTGCTGGGGCTGGAGCCACGGGGGTCGGGCCTGGCTCTACCCCCGGCTCATCCAGCGGGTCTCCTGCCGCCTCGTCACCCCCGACGCGCTCGTGTACAGGGACGTGGCCGCCCGGCTCTTCGGGAAGCCCAGCGTGAGCTCCCACCCTCTGCCCGAGTTCCTGGAGGGCTGCCCCATGCCCACCTACTGCCTCAACCCGCACGGGGTCACGGCCCTGAAGAAGATCCTCATCTGCGTGGGCGACATGTTCCCCGACATCACGTACAGCCCCCTCCTGCCCGCGCTGGCGGCACTGCTGCTGCACTACAGCGAGGACGAGGCGCAGTGCTTCGAGAGCGTCTCTCGCCTCATCGCCAGCAACGCTCCCCACGCCGGCTACATCGACCAGTCCTTCCTGGCCCACCAGGCCTCGTGCATGACCTTCGGGGACCTGGCCAACAAGCACTGCCCGGCAGCCCACAGGCTCATAGCCAGCGCCGCCGAGAACGTCCTCGAGGTCTACTCGGAGTGGCTGTCGTGGCTCTTCCCCGGGCTACCCTTTGGCTACGCCGTGCGGGTGCTGGACGTGTTCCTGCTGGAGGGCCAGAAGGTGCTGTACCGCATCGCCCTGGCCCTGCTGAAGCAGTTCCGGCTCTCGGTGGCCCCGGCCGGGCTGCAGGGCTCTGACATCAAGGCAGAACTGCAGGCGTTCGTGAGGAACATCGCCCAGCATGTGACTGTGGACAAACTCCTGGAGAGAGCCTTTGGCATCCGGCTCTTCTCCCGCAAGGAGATCTGGCTTCTCCAGATGGCCAACAGGAAGGCCTTGATGGAGAGGGGCATCACCGTGGTGCAGAGAAGGTGAGGAGAGCCCTGAGTTCCCCAGCTCTGGGGGCTGAGCAGGCAAAATGGGAATTCCTGTGGAGAACACCCGGGGGGAGCTGCAGGCACCTCCCACAGCCGGGGCTGTGCTGGGCCCTGCCAGGCCCTGGGGACCCTGTCAGGGGACAAGGCACAGCCAGAGCTTGGGACCCTGTCAGGGGACAGGGCACAGCAGAGCTGGGGACTTGTCAGGGGACAGGGTACAGCAGATCTAGGGACCCTGTCAGGGGACAGGGCACAGCAGAGGTGGGGATGATGGCACAGAGCTCACACTGCAAAGACAGGACAGGACCTGCTGCAGGGGCTGTGCCCCGAAGAGCAGAGGGGCCCCACAGCCCGGCCTGACATCCCTCCCCTCGCAGGCCATCCTTCCACCTGGCTGTGGACATGCAGAACTTCAGCTCCAGCATTGTCACGGCGCAGGAGATGCGCCTCGTCTGGTCCTGGATTCCCGAGCGCTTCTCGCTCTTCCCCCCGCTGCTGCTCTTCTCCACCTCCGAGGACGGCTGCAGCCTGCAGAGGTGAAGCCTCACCTGCCCAGCAGGGCGGGCGGGTTGGGCGTGGGGAACTCTGGGCAGGGCTTGGTGGTGGAGAAAGGAGCAACACGAGTGATCCGGGGCACCTCTGGGGCTGCTGGGGACCCTCCTGGCCCGATCCAGGGTCCCGAGTGTGGCTCAGGGGAGAGGGCAGAGGCTGGGCCCGATGGCCACCAACACCTGGGCACTGCCCGGGGCACACAGAGCCCTGTGGATGTACCAGGCAGGGACGTCCCCGTGTGCCACACTGTGCCAGGCACGCTGTGAGCGGCCAGGGACAGCCAGCACACCCTGCCCAGGGCTCCAGCTCCCCCTGAGCCCACCCCTTGTCCATCTCTGCAGGTTCTACACGTGCTGTGAAGGCTACAAACCCACGGTGCTGCTCATCAAAACCACCGAGGGCGAGGTGAGCGTTTCCCAGGCAGGGCTGGGCAGGGGACATGGTGGGTGACCCCACAGGCTCTTCTTGGAGCACCCACGGGCTGTGTGGTCCCTGTCCTGCCCCGCCCCGGGCCTGTCCCAGCTCCCAGGACAGAGCAAATGGCACCTCTGGCCACCAGGACACACCTCAGCCAGGGGTGCTGGGGGAACAGGAGGAATGGGTGAGGGGAAGAGAGACCACGAGTGAGACTTTAATTGCAAATACAGACTGGCTCATGGGTCCTCGCTGAACAGACTCTCCTGAAGTCAGCAGATGATTTGTCTGAGCCAGGACTTGCTTTCAAAGCACTACAGGCCAGGTTCTGTCTCTGATTGCACGAGCAGCCACACAAGGGAAATGGAGGAGAAATAAGGACAGTTCCTCCTGAAAGCTGTGGAATAACTGGAAAGGCCCCTGAGCCAGGGCTCTTCCCAGGGACTCTGAGTGCCTCATAAAGCCCTAATTTATCTCTTCACTCTTCATCCCACAGTGGGGGCGAGTTCTGTGAATTGTTCAGGCCTCCCAAAGATTTACTGACCAACAGTGCTGATGCCCCCAGGCTGACACTTCAGGGTGGGGTGGAGATAAACACCTGCCACCCCCAGGGCCTCGTGCAGGTGACCTAGAAAACCTTGTTTCCTACAGGTTTTAGCTCCTGTTATCCCTTGGCTGTGCCAAGGACAGGCAGGAGGAGTTCCCAGCCCTCAGCAGGGCCCCGCAGCCATGGTCAGGTCAGGAGTGTCCACAGCAGGGTCAGCCTTGGCCACCGAGGCTGGGTGGGTTCAGTGCAGAGCACCGGGGATGGGCAGT